CAAATTGTTGTGATTCTTCGACGTTCTAGCATATTACTAATAATTTAAACTAAATTTAATGCATACAACAGGCAGTGGCGGTTTGTGACCTTTTAAAACGGGGGGACACCATTTGATTGATGAGTTAAATATGAAGATATAAAACAGATTGTGACGGAAATAAATACAAAAATACATTCAACAAACGTAAAAAAGGATTTCTCCACATACCTTTCTGCCTTCGGTTAAAATTTTACGTTGATGGCATCTAAAAGTTCATTTTGAACAGTTTTAGGCGTTTTAAAAACCGTTGCTTCTTTCAAATGATTTGATAAAGCAGAGTCCAATTGAGCCGTAAAATTAATCAGACCTCGAAATGTACCTGGATTTTTGATTTTACTTTCGTCATGTCCACGTAAAGCAAGTTCAAACACTCCACAAAATTTTATGCACATTATCAATCGGCGTAATATACAACGTGTTATTGAAAGGTACGTACAAAATAAACTCGGCAATTGGTCTCGAAGTATGGGTGCTAAAACTTAAAAAAGTTCAGGTAAAAAGTAGAGATAAAAATCATTAAAATTTATGTCCAAATTCGTTGTACGCCTCTGATAAAAAGATCTTCTCTCGTTTCTATAGCAACATTTAGTCTTGACAAAAGTTTCATTGTTACAGTTGCTAGGATTTACTCAAATAAATTAATTTTACATATTTATCCTTCAGTAGCGTCTAAAAAGGTTGGATAAGTGTTAATTTTCCCCTTATAATTTTGACAACACAAAATAAGTTTTTCAGACTTCTTAGACTTGGCGACGAACTGTCAATTGTGTTGTAAAGTTTGTCCAGAATTATAAGAATTTTATGAACTCCCAACGTTAATTCGTTTTACAGCCCAGGCATCAATTCTATTGTACAGGTAAAGAGCCTGTCAGGGGAAAGCCGATCCTTACTGTACCTGAGTTCGTCCCGCTCTTCAGCTGTACAATAAAATTGACAACAGGGCTGTAAAACGAATTAACTTTGGGAGTCCATAAAATTCTTATAATTCTAGACAAACTTTACGTACCTTTCAATAACACCCTGTATGGCGATTTTTGAGAAGATTATCCAAGAATATTTATCATACGTGTTCGCGCAGTATGAAAATTAAAACCCGCGATAGTAATTCAATCCTGCCGAGTACGGTCGGAACGGGACCGCAGTTCAGTTGTATCAGGCGGCTACGACGTGTGGTTTCCATGGCAACGGTGTAAACATAACATCTAAATTAGCCATGGTTCGGTCTCTGTGCCCGACTTTTATTAGCAATAACATATCATATATATCTTTAGATGTAAGTGGATGTAAGTTTTGATACATTTTATACATGTGAAGCGTGATAAAATAATTATAATTAGTTTTAACAATTATGACATAAATTTCCGGATAATTTTTTAAATATGTATTGAAAATTACTAAAATACATAAGTATTTCGTGTTTCGGCATTTTGGCTTGATGCTTCTATTATTATCAACAGTAAATTTATTTCACTAAATTAGTTAGTCTTTTCTGCGATGGAAATTTTCAGAATTCTGATCTCCAAAGAGGAGTTGACAGTTTAACTCTTGTTGTGATCACGTGGTAGGTCTCAAGCTAAACCACAGACAAATATAGCTATCCTTGTCCTTCTCACTTATATTTATTCCTTCACGCGCACCAATTTAGGAGTTTGAACAATTTTTTGATACACAAAGTACATTAGATTTTCTAAATAATGATCATATACAGGGTTATTCACAATGATCTAATAACTAATGGATGGAATGTTGAGGCGCGTAATCCCGCTCGCATGCGGTGACAACTAGAGAGAGAAATAAACATATCTACAGTGAGTGTTGTTAGACAAGGCCAACACGTATCGGTAGGCAAGAACGAGCTTCGGTGCCGTTGAGTTAAATAGGAGATCATGTAAAAATGATTTTAAAATTCTTTGTTGTCGTTTTTTTTTTTATTTTGTAGGACACTGTATATACATACAATACAAAATGAATATAAACACACAATTTATTGAACAAAATTAATTTTGTGTATACCTGTCTGATTTTATTAGGAACTTGACTATTTCTGCTGTTTTCATAATTCAGTCTAATAATAAAAAAATACGTAAAATTACATAGACCAACTGGACTACATGATTGTTAAGTGGATCTTGATCCAAAATGTGGTCATTTAAGACATTAAACATATTTCTGAAATTTAGTAATCTAATGGTTTTAATTGTAACAATATTAATAACATTCGCTGAAATATTATATTTCATAGTTCTGAAAGTGGTTTCAGCTATCTTACAAACTTTGATGACATCAACTGATGGCTTTGTAAGTCCACCTCTCTTTTTTTTAATTTAGCAGTGCCGAAAGAGTCTCATTGGGTCTCATTGTTAGTCAGTTTTCTAGGCCTTGTTTCATTTTTTTTGTTTTGAAAAATTGAAAATGAATGGTACTGCGTCCTTTTTTGAAATTCTCAGTTGTTGTGTGGGATTAACAGAATTTGTTAACGGCTGAAAATTCTCATTTTTAAAATGTTTGCTACACACTCTTGACGCAGACGTCCGAACAAATTTATCTCGTTTAAGTGCAACAATCCATTGCTTTCTTAGCAACAGATTTGTCGGAAAACTGAAATTAAATTAAATAAAGATTGTATGAAAAAATTATTCAGCAGATATCTCACCGATGAAATGAAATATTACAGCCTTTGTGATGCCGCTCCTCGCATCCAAATGCACAACAAGATATAACCATCGTGAATATGATTGTTATTATTGCGATTGTAAGAAAACAAGCACTTTAGAACTGCACAGAAATGCCACACACACCAGGAAGTGAGTAATTAAAAGTAAATTTTAACTGGAAGTTGCTCTGCTGTTTTGCCTACCGATTCGGACCTCTCAAATGGTCACCGTACCCTCTCTCTCTAACATCTCTCCCATAGAAATAATATTATATGGAAGTAACTTAGAGAGAGACGCGCGTTGTCAACACAGTGGGACAGAGATAGGGCTATCTGGGTGGCAAAACATTGAAGCGAAACTGCAGAGCACTGTGTTTCTGGAGGTTTTTTTCGTGCTGTCGCATGGTGTTTGAAGGTGTATTTTTACAAATTTACGTTTTATAGGCTCAAGTTACCTTATTTAAATGTCTACAATCTTCTTAAGTTGTATTTTATCGGACTATTTGTTAAACATCGTGAAATCGTGTTGTGCGTATAATTGCATAGAACGTGCAAAGAAAGCAATCCTGTTTCATTTCATAGGTAATACTCACATATACAGACGAAGGATTTCGTAAATAATTTAAAAATTTTGTTAGTTTCCCTAAACATTCCGAGTTACGAAAAAAACGGATTATTGCTACAAAAAGAGGGAATATAATATCTATTGATTACTGTTTTAGCTATTTGTACGTGGATTTAGAAAATAGATTTTACTAGAAAGTTCCATACAATTTAATATGTGTAATTTAATTAGGCACCCTGTCACTTTTATCGAAAGTTTAATTACTTTTATCCTAAAAAAATCAGAATTACCAATGAACATACACTACAAGATTAGTTAACTTGTAGAAGATTATTGTATTAACTGAATTCGTAATATATTGTAGATTCTGTACACATTTCATTTTATTAAAAGACTATCTCCACACCTTAACATGATTTTTATTGTTTCACATTACACATACATAATTTTAATGTAAACTGTAAAAATATAGTTTTCATTAACAAACGTTTGTTATAATTAATTGTTTCAACAAATTCGTAAGAAAACGTATTAATTCCCGTTCAAATGAGGCGTTTCTTGCCACCCAGCACGTGATACATGGTCAGCCGTCCTTTGCCCACTGATGCATAACCGCTCTAGCTATTTCTTTCTTATGTTGATTACACTCACTCGCGTATGGAAACGTATACAAGGCTCCATCCACTCCTTTATTAGATCAATGATCTCTCCAGTCTGAGATCTCTATGGTTATTCACGAGAAGCTCTACACCTAAAAATCCAAAACACTACCAAAAATACAATTTCAAAACCATCTTTGCCATTTAAAAAAAAAAGTAAACATTGTTGTTATCCGTTTTGTGTAACAGACGTAGTGACAGATACTACTGTCTTAAAATTGCCATTTTGTCAGAATTGATGCAGTGTGTTTAAACGACGAAAAGCTGATGTGATTTTGATATATGGTGAGTGTTTCACAGTTACCGAGCTCTTGTTTTGACTTTGTTTGTTTTTAATTTTAACCTAGTAATTGACATTTACTTCCAAATTATCAAAACCAAACAGCTAACTATGGTTAACTTAAAACAGAAATGATGGTAAAAATCAGCGATTGATATGAAATTGTACTGTTGGTTGCTTTTTGAATTTTTTAGTCCTGGAGGTTCTCATGAATAACCCTGTATTGTAACTTGTTATTGTTACTTACAATTAATAGATAATTTTAATGGCCGTACCACAAAATAAGTTAGAGTCACGATAAACAACTTCAAAGAATTCTATGACCTAAATCAACACAACGTAAAATTTAATATTACTCATAAATAATCATATCCTGAATTTATTTCTTTAATTGTATATTGTCAATTCTGGTAGACAAGGATTCACACCATGGCATCGTTCATTATATATAATTATGAATATTTCAGTCTCACCCCGCTAAGAGTTTCTTTTGAACAACGAACTTGAACATTATTACATCAAATGGGGTAATTTTCCGTTACTGTATGAAATCGTCTCGTCCTCAAAAAATTAGATTTTTGACCGCAGTATCAAAATACAGATGATTTAGCTTAAATACTCATTTACCCTTTTCTTATAGGCACCCCAACATATATTATCTGTTACTCCTTAACTTTTTAAAAATTTAATTTACAAAATGTCGTGAATCCAGTGTCGAGCTAATATGAATTTAGTCATTCATCAAATATATTTTTAAAACATAACATATTTTCAGTAATAACAAAAAAAAATTGTTTAGCATGAAGTGGTGGTAAACTTGTATTTAATTAAATAGACTAATTAAGTAGTTAATGAGATTATATTTGTGCGTGAATTGTGAAAAAGTCTCTGAAATTTTGAGAACACGGTAACATTGTACCTGACGTTAATAATACATGTCAAATTCAAAGTATTCAAAGTGTTTAATACTTTATTTTTTTGGTTTATTCTCCATTTCACTTTGAGTTATCAGTATCAGCGTAGAAAATCGATTTCTAAAGATATACATATATTTATCATAAATTTTCTGCCATTCCGCGTCTCTTTATGTGAAAATTCGATTTTTATACATCAAAATATCATAGTAAATTGCATTGTTTTTTGGATTTTCATAATTTTAGTTTTTATTTTTTCATTACGTCATATTTCAAAAAATATTCAAAATTTTGTCTTAGTTTTTTTTAAGGGTAATAAATATAACCAAACACTACTGATTTTAACAAAGTAACTTTGGCTGTACTAATATCCTTCCAAAAAATATTTCCTTGTTAGTTGCAAAAATGGTGTATTCGAATTTTTTACATGCGATTTTGTTTTATTACGGAAGATTTTAAAATAGATCAACAGCAAAGTTGTAGATTTTGGTTTAAAATATTTTTTGTAATGAAGCAGTACTTGACGCCGCTTTTGCCTTTGAGGTAAAAATTTTCAAACTTGGGCGATGTGTCGGATACGGGATATTAACCGAGACTGGAAGTAGAACTTGTGATTGATTATATTAATTTTTCCAAAATAATTCCAGTTTATTAAGTATTACTTTGTCGCAGATCAATTTCAAAATTTCCAGTAATAAAAAACCCCGCTCATGAAGATTACGAAACACGTTTATTTTAGACGTAAATGCAATCACAGTTTATGACTACTATCGTTAAAAAACAATGCCTTAAAATAAAATAGATTTTAAAATATGATGTGATAAAAATGTAAAAATACAACACGATGAACTAAAAAACGCAATTTTAAAATTGTGAAAATTTGAGAAATTATAGGATTTATTATGAAATTGACAATGACAAAAAGTTCAAGATAAGATGTGCATGTATCAATTTCTTCAACAAATCGGCAACTTTTTGATAACTGACAACACCGCGGGGAATTCTGCTACTTAAAATGTATTGGTTACGAATTTTTTATACTGCCAACTCAAAGTGGAACGGAGAATAGATCCATATTAATTATTTAACTACCATTTAAACCAGTACTTCTCAATTTTTGGCCTTTGGCTTTCATCCACGTTCTGCTTATCCTCCCATTCAAAAAAATCGACATTTTCTAGCACTTTCTTCTTAATTTTTTCTACAAGTACAATATAATACAGAAATATTTCTCTGGTAAATATAAGTATTGTATACTTACCTTGCAGATCCGATACAGTTTCTGCGGAGCCTCCATAGTCTTTCGGCAAACATTCAAGAGGAACATATTTTGTTAAATCGTCAATGGTGTTGTGTAAATAAATCTGTGAAAAAAAAAAATCATACAAATCGCTAATTAATATATAACTAGAATAGAGTACATACTGTATCGTAGAGTTCTTTCTTTACGAATGGTTTAATCAAAGCTAAAACCTTATCCATAAAAGGAACAATATTCACATAATGTAGTCTTTTCAAACGTGCTGGTATACCTTCTTGTACATAATGTAAAAATTTTTTTAAAGCAAGTGGCGATATGTGGAACAAGTGTCCAAAACTTGTTCCTTCCATATCAAAAACAACCACGTAACCATCAGAGGTGCCATATTGATGAAGATGTAGCATACACGTCATATCAAACATTTTTAATTGCGCTTCTGTATTTAAGCTACTGGGAGTGACGTCTATAATTTTAATAAACATGATGGTATAGCCTTCAGGGGTTTTTTTGGGTAAAGGTGTAAGAAGTCTATGAATACGGGGTTACTTTATCTACTATTTACGTATGTCATTGTAGTCACTTACGCAACATCGAGAGATTCTTTGACTGGGGATTTATATGGGTTTCTCATTTTAAAAAGGCTTGGATGCCTACTTTTTATGGTGAAAAAGTTATCTATTGTTTTTTTCGCCATATCCTCGTTGTAATAGCAAGCATGAAGGAAAAATATGGCTTGAAGCTCTAAAAATTGCTTAAAAAAAGTGTAGATGAAATAAATTGTTTTGACTTACCGTTGATTTTCGGCAGATGAGGTTGTTGGTTTACCCAGTCGTTAAATTTTTTGACTTCTTCTTTTTTTAAATGTTTGTTTTTTTCGTATTCGGAACTCACGTCTGCAAGATGTAAAGACATCACTGACACAATTATTTTGTAGTTAATACGGCACTTTGATCTTTTTGTCACGGATAAAACTTTGATGTTTGTTACACAGATTTCGTTCTCAGAGAGATCGCATGATCTTTTAACTTCGGTATCAACACTTAAACGAGTTTAAAACTTGCTGCATTTTTTCTGCTTTTATTGTGTGTAAAACGAGTCGCGTATATTTCGTAGACCTATAGTTATAAACAATTAACATTAAGATATTAAAGCAAGTTTACCTTGCATTACCACATTGCGTGCATTCTTTTTTTCGATTTGATTACATTGGGCGTTGGACGAGGAACTTAATTTGTAATTGAGTCATACCTGGACAGGATTTAGCATAATTAGTAAACTACAAAATTGGGGATAGTCAACGATGTTGTTGGGAAATTTTTCCCAGAATTCATTTCAAACCTTTTGAATCTAGTACTCTCACACAGTGTTTATATTCATTTTGAAAATACGACTCAATTATAAACATTTTATGCTTCAATGGAAATTCAATTTTTGAGTGAATACGCAAATAAAGTTCCGAAAAAAAGTGTTTTTAATGTACATATTATTTCTCCAGGAAGTAACAAAAAGCAAGAAAACAAGAAAAATGAGGTTGGAAGGAGGAGGTTTTAAGTGACGGTTGAAAAAGTCATAGCGAGATTGATTGTAAATTGAGGTAGAATTTAAATCAAAGTTAAAATCAGTTTATAGGGATTTTAGTTCTTGCTTTTTTAGGTGCCTATTTGAAATATTAGGTTCACAAAATTATCAGCAATTAAAATTAATTTTATTAAGAACGTTTCTATGACGTAGCTTTAAATGGAGCGTTAAACGTATCATTTCAAATTACCTGGAGAAATGGGTCACCAAGTGAGGCGATTTGGATCAAGTCCAACTAAATAATGATGAATTTTAAGTGAAAATGTGCTTCTTGCATTTTTACTCACTCTGACCCCATTAAAAATAAATAAAACACTGTACTAACTAGATACCCCGAAAATTGGGCACCTACTTTTGCCTCAACACATACAGAACTCAACATTTTTGAATTCAAACCTCGCGCGCTCAATATTTTACAAAAACCAATCAAACGCGACCTCTACTCATTTCTGATTGGTCTGTCCATCTGTTTACATCATGGCGGCCGAGCAGCACGTGGAAAATGAAGAAAATCCCGCAAAAAACCTCAAACGCAAACGTGACCCGTCGGTCCTAGATAATTTCACCAAATTAACAAATAGACAAGAAAAAGTGCGTGTGAAGGCCGGTGTTAATTTGCTCCGACATCTCTGGGAAAACGAAAATGTGAGAAAAAGTGAGGTTATAACGCATGTAACTGGCGATACATTTTGTAGTGTTTTAGGCCGATAATGAACTAAATTATGCCCTTGGACGTTTGATACGCGGTTTGGGATCTTCGAAGGTTCAGGCGAAAACTGGTTTTTTTGCAGCCTTGGTGGGGTTATTTAACCTCAAAAGTATCGCAATCCATGACATCTTTGAATATGTTTCGAAGGAATTGCATAAGGGGGGCAGTAACAGCAAGAGCGTAATTTTGTATTTTTTGTTGTGTTAACGTGTGTAATCTTTGTGTATTGCAGGAAAATGCGGATGTTAGTTCTGGACAAATTCTGATTGTGGGGGCTATACTACAATCCAATTCATATGAAGGTTGTAGTGATGAGGATAAGACTAAGTTGCTTCAGTTGTTACTTACCGCTGGCAAGGAGAGAAATTATTTGAATTTAGCCGCATTTACATTTTTAGTTGATTTGTTTAAAAAAGTGAGTTTTTTTTGTACTTGAGAAAGTTTCTTTATGGTAATGTTTTATAGATTGATTCTAAAGAATTTGAGAAAGTAGTTTTCCCGCTTGTTAAGGATGAGCTGTCGACACCTTGGCCTCGGCAGAATTTGGATACTCTTTATCTATTGAGTGAGATTGAAAGAAGTTTCCCAGAGTCTCTCCATTCAAAGTTTTTGAAAAATAATTTAGGAACATCTGAGGTGTTATGTAGAGAAAGTCTTCAACATGTCGCCAATACACTAACTGTAAGTGCAATTTAGTTCAGTAGTTCAGTGAAATCAGGTTTAAAGGTTCTTGTAAACCAGTGTTGGTTTGTTCATTTTTGCTTTTATTTTGATAATTTTGTTTTGATGCTGTAAACAATGTAACAATTATGTTAAGTGACACCTATCGGGATTCTACATGTGTATTTTTGGTATACAAAAGTCAAGTCAGTTTTGCTCAAGTTAATTTTCTTTTTTTTAATAAAATATTTAAATATTGTTTCACAACTTGGGCCACAAGGTCTTACATTTTTCGAATACATTTATCACTATCAAAATTGAAAAATATTTGCAGCTGATGATAATATACTCTTCTTGTTACTTTTTGTTTTCAGGGTAAAAATATTATATGTTATAAAATTTGAACAAAATTTTGGAGAACCACAGTCCTGACATTTTATACACATAATTGTATTCTAATAAAAAATAATAAAATGAAAAAGTTGTCTAACATAGTTTAGACAGAAGTTCCCACGCTCTGAAGTTCAGTCGAAGTTTTGATGATACCCTTATCAAAAAATTTGCTGGATTAATTCTAGCTAAAATGTGCAAAATATTGTGAGTCTATAATTATATGCTTTCATATTTTTTAGAATTGCTTATACAGGCTGACAAAAATGAATGAGGCAATTTATTTAATCAAGAACGATTCACCTCATTTTCTCAAAAACTTGAATCATATTGCACCTATTGAAACTGATACACGTGTCTTTGTTTAAATGTTAATGACGTCATCACAATATTTTGCAATGGAAATACTTGAAATATACACGCACGCTTTTTTTAGCTTTACTTTAACTACACATATCATTTAATTTACATAGGTTGTCAAAAAAATAAAATTCGTAAAATCAAATTACATATATATATTTTTTAAAAACTGCATATGTTGTACTGCAGCTCAGGGGCGAGGGAAGTTCTGTCTAAACAAAATATCCTTAGTTCAATTTTTTTCTTATTATCATAATTTATTGAATGGTCGCTTTTGACTGAAATTTTATAGGTGAGGAAATGAGCGAATTCCTGGGTGTAACGCGTTACTTTTAAACTTACTTTTTTGTTGTTGAAAACTTCTAGAAGATTTCAGGTTCATACGGTACTATCCGTTCAGAATTTTCTGGAAAATAGGAACATTTTAATTGTTTTTTATTCATACTTGTTAATTTTGTCCACATTTTATGTTATTTGAGTTTATGTGAACGAAAAGTACTAAATGCCACCGCTTTCTCATTGAAAATAGTATGAAAATACCGTATGGTCGAGAAATCAAAGTCCTGTAATAGTCTATGAAATTTATTTTAAAAATAATGATGTTGGCAACACCAACGCGTTCTTTGTTAGGTTTGACGGTTATGGTCAAATAACTGCAATACCAACAACATTATTTTTAAAATAAAGTTCATGACTTGCCTGAGAATAATAGCCACTATTTTACATTTTCAAGGTGCAAGCAGTTATAGTAGCTTTGCGAATTGAAGAACAAAAATAGTACTACATAATGACATTTTGCAAATTTTTTACATCAAAAACAAAAAGTATGCAGTTGGTGCAAATTAAATTTAGAGAGAATTTTTCTAAAACTTTTACTCCTCTTGTACAGTCGAACAAATATTGCCTCGTGTAGCCTTAATTTTTTTAACCATTAAGAATCGTTGATAATTCTACAAAAATAATCTCAAAACCCATTCACCAACATCGTAAACAACATTAAAGTATTAAATGTTAATTTCAGACAATCCCTCGACTTCTGGCGTTGAAACACCCGGTCTTCGACATCTTCACAAAAAAATTACTTGAATCGTCTCTCATTGAAGAATTCTTCATTGAACTAGACCAAACTTTAGCCCGACCAAATCGTAACAAGTTCTTCGTTTTTACTAAACTCTTGACCGATATTTTGGCAAATTTAAACGACCCAACAATAATTCCAAACATTTTAACCAAAAACTATATTCAACAGACCTTATCGATGTACAAGAATTCAGTCGGTAGATTCAAAGATAAAGAATTTAAAGACATCACCCAGAAACTTTTTGAAACGCTATTAACGAGTCTCAAAAAAGACGGCGTTAAATCTAAAACAAAAATAAAAGTGCTGAAGAAACTTTTATTTTTCCCAGGAATTTTCATTTTTGAAAAAATAACAAGAAGTAGATTAATCCAAAATATAATTGCAAGTTTGAGTAGTGAAGGAGTCAAAAAATTGGGCGTGGTTTATAGAGACGTGATTTTAGCTAATCACGACAAAGTCATCAACGAGAACATTAGTGAGAAGTGGTGGAACACAGATCGGGTGTATGCTGCACATTTGTTGGTAAAGTTAGTTAATCACCCATCTACAAACGAAGAGAATGAATGGAAGATCGAACAGTTGATGTTTTTGGGAAAACTGGGGCTCTTGAAAGACCAAGCAATCGGCCTCGAATTGGCAGAGTCTTTAAAAGACACCTTCTACTCTGCCCTTGACTTAAAATTGGGAAAACTAGACGACTTACGGTTCATTTTATCAACAATTCTTCACGAATTTGACACTCTTATTCCCGACTTGAGGAACCCCCTTGATGAAGAAAACCAAGAAACATGGAAACGCACGGTAGAACTAGTGACAAAATTGGACGGACATATGAAGAAGAAGAAAGCAGTTTTTCACACACTCTTTTTAAATCTAGGTCTTCAAATCTTCAATGACACAAAACTTGCGACCGATTCTTTAACCGAACTTTTCACTTGCTACGAGAGAACGAAAAAGAAGAACGAAGAAAGCGACGATCCTCTGTGGATTGAAGTCGTTGTCGATCTGTTTCTAAATCTACTCAGCCACAACTCTCACCTACTCAGAAGTGTGATCAACTGCGTTTTTCCGCATCTGTGTAAATACATGAACGGTAGCGCGATCCACCAGATTCTATCAGTTCTCGATCCGAAGAATGAAGACAATCCGTTATCGACACTCCATGAGGAAAGCGACGAAAATAGTACAGACGTCGAAGAGGAAGAAGACGATTATTCCTCGGATGAAGATATGAATGACGAAGAGGAAGACCACACTGTCAACGACAAACTCCGAATAGCTCTTCACGAAGTTCTGGGAGCCGATGCTCAAAGCGACGCCGAAAGCGTAAATCTAAATGACCTAGATGATGAAGAAGGTGACAAGTTGAACGAGGCTTTAGGACAAGCTTTCAAGCGGTTCAAACCCGACTTAGGAAGGAACAAGAAACAGAAAAAAGATGATGAGGCTTTGACACATTTTAGGATTCGAGTACTCGATTTGGTGGAAATCTATTTAAATACGAATCCTTCTATGTTACTAACTTTGGAAATAATGTTGCCACTGTTGCAACTATTGGAGTTTTGTATAAAAGATGATCACCAAAAGCCACTCGAAGATCGCGTCAAAGCTTGTTTGAAAAAGTTGTCTGCTTTGAAGAAATTTAGCGACTGGGAAGACGTAACTGAAGATGTTTTGGTAGAATTGTTGAAGAGTCTGTTACAAAAAGGAACGAAAAATGCTATCGTGATTCAACAAATGAGTGAGAAGATCGCCGATTGTTCAATGTTTGTAATAACGTGCTCCCAGATCGTGAATGCTGAGCGTACAAAGAAAATAAATTGTGTGATGAAAGAAGGCCTAGAAGCTTTCTTCACGAGGAGAGACTGTATAATACCTTACGTACTCTTCAAGAACTTACTACAAATGAACTGGGAGGGAATCCTAGTATTAGTACCTTTTCTTCTCGGATGTGTTTTCGCTTCAAGCATTAGGCCTTTCCGAAAAAACCAAGCTGTTGAATTAATGAAGATATTTCTTCACAATCAAAGATTTATAAGTAGTCATGCCGAAAAAATCGTCGTTGTTGAAGATGACTTTTTGAACTTTCTTCGCGATTCTGTTGATTTTTTTAGAGAATTTAATGCAAATTCGTCACAAAAAAAAATGAAAGAGAAGTTTTTGGCTAATTTGTTAGATTTGTTGTATATTGTTAAAATATCGGTTTTGGGGCGGACTTTTGAAGGATGGGAGTTGTTAGGGGAAGGAGTGCGTAATTGCCGTTCGCTGATAACGTTCTCGAGAGATACGAAATTAGCGTTTAATAAGCTTTGTAAAAGTTTGAATATTTCCAACGTCGTTGAAATGAGGAAGGAGGTGGTAAATTTGAATAATGTTGAAGGCGACGATGGTGAGCAACAAGTGAGTAAGAAACAAGAGAAAAGGAAAAAGAAGACTAAAAATAAAGATAAGTTGAAGTTGAAGAAGCAGTCAAATGAGTTGAGGTTGCAGGGTTTGTCAGAAGGGTTCAGTTGTAAAATAAAATAAATAAAAATAAAATAAACTAGTTTAATCGAGCTAAATTATACAAGATAAAATTAGACTTAAATATATTAATAATATCCAAAATAAAGGATTTACATTAATTAATTAAAAAATTACATAACTACATAACTATTACACATCGAAGCGTTCCTTAATTACTTTCCTAATCACTGCTAAATTACAATTAAAAAAATCAATTCGACCGTCACTCTCAATTCGGCTTAAATAATTGACCATTACAAACAGTGGTGCTTTTCTACCTATATTAGAACGCGGAGTAACACAGTAAAAAGTGACAGAGAACCTGGAGTTGAATCTAGGAACATAAAGTTTCAAACCGTTTAATAATTCAGTACAATTTATCTGGTTGTTGAATAGTTTGAACAGAAAGATGACAGCATTTGTTATCCGCCTACAATGCAAAGAACTTAAATTATATCGATCCAATAATATCTGTTGCGGGAAGTTTCTTTGTGGCCAGTACTTCTCCTCTTTATGAAATAAATATTTAAGGAATTGTCGTTGGATGCTTTCAATGCGTGAAATTTGGTAGTTGTAATCTGGAAACCAGGCTAAGGCACCATATTCAAGTTTAGAACGAACCAGCATAAAGTATAAAGATTTCAGTGACGGAATGTCAGTGAAATCACGACAATGTCTACATATAAAACCTAAAACTTTTTTAGTACTAGCTGTCAAATAATCAACATGATCTTTGAAATTAAATTGAGAATCGTATAAAATTCCGAGATCCTTAATTGTAGAAGATTTTTCTAGTTTACTATCGCCAATGTGATAACTGTAAAACTGAGTGTTTTTCCGCAGGGAAAATGTAGTAAACAAACATTTCTTATTATTAGAGCTGTGCGGTTGAAATTTAAACGCTGCGAATTGACCCCCACTCCGGCAGGCCAGAGGCTTGCAAGCGACGTTATGTATCGCGAAGAAAATTACGCGAAAAATAATGTTAACGGCATGTCAGTTGATGATTTTAAAATCCATATTCACGAAATAAGAGTAATCATAATTTTAATAATGTTCAGGTGTCCGTCTCGCTGACAATAAAACTATTTGTGTGAATTATCAAAAATAATCCACAACTGAAAAGCAAGAAGCCAGCAAGGCAAGGCTGTGTAGCGATCGGCACAGTGGGCCGATAGTGGGGGTAAATAAATTTCAACCGCACAGCTCTACTTATTATTAAGCTCTAAAGAATTCTTGACTGACCATTCCAATAAATTATCTAAGTCATTTTGGAGTAATAAACAGTCATCAAGAGTATTAACCATGCGAAATATTTTAACGTCATCAGCGAAAAAAAAAAAATTCATCATTCCAAAGCAAAACTTTGGAATGATGAATGTGATCAACAATATCATTTACATAAATGTTGAACAATAATGGGCCAAGGATGGACCCTTGTGGAACACCTAATGTTGTGATGTAATTGTCAGATTTGAATCCATTTATTAATACAAAATTATGACGTTCAGCTAGATAAGAAATAATGAGTTTAGTTAAGGAATTAGAAAATCCGATGTTAGCAATTTTCTGACCCAAAGTGTGGTGGCAGACCTTATCGAACGCCTTAGAGTAATCTGCGTATACAACATCTATTTGACTCTTATTTTCTAGAGCCTCAGAAATAGATTGCGAAAAATAAGTCATATTTGTTAGTGTTGATCTGTGCTTCATGAAGCCCTGCTGAGAATCATTGAGTACAGACTTTATATGAAAATATATCTGGTCGTATAGTATAGACTCCAGAACTTTCGAAAAATTGGACAACAGCGAAATAGGTCTGTAATTCCTCACATTACTGGGATCCCCCCCTTAAAAACTGGAATAATTTTAGCATCTTTCCATCTACTGGGAAAACAAGAGGTCTGATTAATAAGATTAAAAATGTACGCTAGTGGTTCAATGAATATATAAGCACAGTCTTTAATAATAAAACTTGGCACCTGATCGACGCCCGCTACTTGATTGTTCTTAAGCTTTTTTATTGCTTTAAGTATATCTTCATTAAGGATACTAATATTGATGGATAAGCCACTATAACTAGCATTGACACAATAATTGCTGGAGTCCTCCAATCTATTAAACGAAGAACAAAAAAGCCGAGCAAAGCCGTTAACAACATCCATCGGATTGTCATAAGAATTGTCATCCAAATAAACATTGCTAGGTATTATTGTATGGCCTTTTTTTTCCTTAATAAAAGACCAAAAGTATTTCGGGTCATGAAGTAGAGAATGCTGTACATTTTTTTATGTATTCCACGTAATCTCTCTTAAGCCTGATTTATAGTTTGTCCGTATACGCAAACGGGCCCGGATGACACAACGGAAGAAAGTTCAACATCAGGTTTTGTTAACATGCATTTATAGTAACTCCGCATCCGGAAGCAGGTCCGTAACAGACGCAAGTTCTTGCGGTGCTTACGTTCGACCAATACGGTTAGCTATTGTGCCGAAAGAATCCGAATAAATGCGACGAAAATCGAATCAAATTGCTTTAGCTGATTATTAGAGAGCGGATTTCTGTCGGGCTAGGCAAGGCCAAACTCGGTACGGCTCGTACGGGATGGGAATTCATTGCAGTTACGAGCTGCACATCGTTTATTTGCGATTAGAATAACGCTGCTTCATTGCACTTTGCTGTTAATTCTCGTTCTCATTTACTTAGACGTTTGATTAATAAATCGTTAATTGTATTTATGGAATAAGTAACGATTAAATTCAGTGATTATGTATCACCCGCTACTGAGTCCCGGCGATCCAGCGCGTCCCCACCTATAATCGTGACGTAGCCCGACAGAAATCCGCTGTCTACTGATTATTATTATGTACAGCAAGCGACATAACCAAGTGACAACTGTAAATAATAATTTGCGACTGTGATCAATTTTAATAAAAAAGTTGCATAAAAAATGGACACAATATAAGTCAAAAACAACGACTGCACAAAAGAAGATTTAAAATGCATGAAATTAATTGTAATCGACATAGGAATGATTTTATATAGATGTTTATATTATATATAGGTATTTAATATTAATTAAATATTAATTAATTTAAATAATTTATATTAAATATATTGGAATTATATTACTACAAATATTTCTGTAGTTTGAGTAAAGCAAAAACTATGAAAAGCAAATTTATGAAAAAAGTCAAGATTTACATTTAACAGAGAACTTATCAAACGTTGAGACTGATATTTTTATTAGTGTTTAATTAGGGAGCGGATTTTATGAAATTTGCATATCCGTTATCTTTTGCATATAAGTCTTGATATTTAATATGTGCACGAATTATGCTAGTTAGAAATGAATATAGCTATATGGCATATTTTGCATTTTTATACATGTTTGTGCTAGGTTAAAAAAAATATTGTCTTTCTGTCGGCACTTATCTAGAAAGACGAAATTTTATGAATCATGTTGCAAATTTTGTCCTGAGGCTCAAATAACCAGGAAATGGGTTTGTGTTTTATGATAGTTTGGAGCAAATCACTGGGTGTTAAGCCGTCCGTCTAGGTAAATTCGGCTCCTAATTACTTCTGGAAATTCTATTCATTTCCAATATTTTTGTTCGTTATTTAATAAGTGTATTAATTGTATGTTTTAGGTGGTCGAAGGGACGTTATCCTATTACTTTTCATCTTGAGTTTGCATTGAAAACATTTAAAACGGTACACGAGTGCCAATATGTCAAAGTAATTTATAGATTAAATCTTTTCCTGAACTTATTCTTTAAGAAGGAAACCGTGTTTTTTAGCACCTGCTTCAAACCGCATTTCTGTTTACAAATATATGCTTTCGGATCGCCAGCAAAATTTTTTGCTACAATATTTCGAAAAGTATTTAAAAATAAATTGTTGCCAATATACTAATTAAATGGGCGATTATTATTATTATTTTTTAATTTGTCATGTTCATATTTATTTTTTAGTATAAGAATATTAACTTTAACTTTTTTATTAAAGTTAAACACAGTCTCAAATTATTATTATTTGCAGTTTCTGCTCTGTCACTTGGTTACGTCACTTGCTGTACATAATCATAATCAGCTAATGCAATTTGATTCGATTTTCGTCGCATTTATTCGGATTCTTTCGGCACAATAGCCACCCGTATTGGTCGAACGCACGGTTGAACGTAAGCACCGCAAGAACTTGGGTCTGTTACGGACCTGCTTCCGGATGCGGAGTTACTAGTTATAAACACATGTTAGCAAAACCTGATGTTGAACTTTTTTCCGTTGCGTCATCCGGGCCCGTTTGTGTATACGGACAAACTATAAATCCGGCTTTACGGACAAGCCGTACGTGCAGGCCGTTACGGTCGCAAACTCGCAGTTGGGTCCCGGCTATATCACGGCTACAATATCTAAGCAAGCTACTATAATAGGAAGTATAGTAGCTTGCATAGATATTGTATAGAGTCGAAATTTGCGAATAAAAATAAAATAAAACCGGTTCAAACGGAGCCGACGGTGGCTTGCAAATTCTGACGTCACTCTGGCACACGTTGCACAGAGACGTATTTAATATTAAATGTCATCTTTTCCATTATGATATAATCTGTTTCATTTCTGAGCTCAATCTCGTCAATAAAAACGAAGCTCTGTTCACTGTACCCAAGTGGTGGTATGGTATATTCATCGTTGCAGGGGTAGGTGGAGCGAAAAACCTAGTCATCTTAGCAGCAAACACGGCTATAAACTAGTCCACGTGGACTGTTTGTTTCCCGTCATATTTTAGTTTGCTTGAACCAATTGTGTTGCACCAAACGGTTATTACACTTGTTGAAATACATTTTCAAACTTCCATCTTTCTCTAGATCGTCGGTGTCGTAGCTGTGTGACAAATCGTTTGTCGTAGATAGAAAATAGTAAGATTACAGTGGCCCTAAGATTTTGTGCAAACGGCCTTAAATACACCCCTGTGTGATGCGACGCGTGCCGTAGTGACAGAACTTGCAAGCCGTCGTCGGCTCCGTTTGAGCAGGTTTTATTTTATTTTTATTCGCAAATTTTGACTCTATGGATGGCTACAATATCTATGCAAGCCACTATACTTTGGAACTACAATATGTTTAATGAAGTGAACATCTGGTTGTATCGTCACTGGTTTTATACAGGGTTAGTCACGAGAGAATTACTTCTGAAAATTATTTTTACGCAACCCAAAATACGAATACCATGTACCATTTGATACTAACTGAATTTAAAATGAAATGCTTAATCCATGATTGCTTTGAATTTGACAATCTCATTTTGACAATTGTGGAAAAGGAGGTTACGCGAGTGTCCATGGTGGTACCGCAGCCAGTCGGAAATCTCCTCCGGCGCCGCTAATAAATTTGTCAGTGCGCCTTTTGATCTTTTGCAATCGATTAATCACGAGAAAATTATTTCTAAAAATTCCTTTTACGGCATTTTATTCAAAGGTTACAACACAAACTCAAACAAGTAAGTAAATAATTTAACTACTAATCTGTTGAAAATGTTGGGCATTTTGGGGGGATGCTACGGCTTTTTTGTAAATGGATGGCCGAAGAAGTCCAGAGGTTGCAGATTTGCACTTCGAAGAGGCTCTAGGTGACGCAGAGATGGCGAATTAACACATGCACATTAGCGGCGGACAACATTGGTAGAGCACTTACGGCTTCAGTATAGCCCAGATTGATCTGACTGTATGTCGTCGATCCAATGGGGCTCTAGAGGCGAGTCAACGATGAAACAAAATGTTAAAAATTAATTAACGTCAAAGTGACACTGCCAAAGTCAAAGCAATCATGGATTAGGCATTTCATTTTAAATTTAGATAATATCAAGTGGTACAGGGTATTAGTATTTTGGGTTGCGTAAAAATAATTTTCAGAAGTAATTCTCTCGTGACTAACCCTGTATATACAAATATAGTTTGGATGAAATAGGAAGGAGAAGGAAATAAAATAATATTACCAAGTAAAAAAAATATATAAGTATTTATCCAACTAAACTGGTCCTTAATCTATTTCCAATTTTTTAAAACTACCTTGGATTCCACCCTTGTTTTTAAAATTGTCTAGTTTTTTTTGTCTTTTTGTTTCATCGACTATCTGCTTATCTTCCCAGTCAAAGAAGTCTGCATTTTCAGACAACAGTCTCTTAACCTTCTCTGCAATTAAAGATTTTCATGGTTTATTCTATTAAACTAATATATTCCACGATCTTACCATGTAAAATAGTTGTGCTTTCAACAGACCCCCCATAATCTTCCGGGAGGCACTCTGCTGGAACATATTTTACTAACCCATCGACATTACTGTGCAAATGCAGCTAAAATTCAAAATTATAAAAATCCTCTATATTACTATCAAAACGTAAATACCATATCCATAATCTCCATTTTCATGAACGGCTTTATCATAGCTAATATCTTATCCATAAACGGTACAGTATTCACAAAGTGTAGTTCCTTCAGTCTTAAAGGCATTGCTTCTTGTAAGTAAAGAAGAAATTTTTTAATCACTCCAGGTCCTGCCAATGCCACTCTTGTCAAATGACCAAACACAGCTCCCTTTAGATCTGCCACAATTATATAGCCTTCAGAAGTACCTTCTTGATGCAGTTGTAACATACAAACCATATCAAAAATTTTTATGTGTTCAACGAAATGAAACTTTTCAGTACTTGTTTCCATTAGTTTTAAGAACACTATGGTGTGTCCTTTTGGTGTCTTCTTTGGCAAAATGACAGCAAGACTACAACTGGTAAGATGTACATTCCAAAAAAAAAGTCTTTGATTACCTGTTGTCGATGGTCTCTTTTAAGAGCGGTGACGACGGGTTCTTTCCTTTAAATAGTTCGGAATGCTGGGTTTTCGTAGTGAAGAATGTGTCAATAGCGTTCTTAGCCGCTTCATTCTTGTAGTAACAACTTTGTAGGAAGAGAATTGCTTGGAGTTCTACGTAAGAGTGGTAACAATTATTACACTTTTCCGAATGGTAGGAAATTTTGGGAGAGGTTGTCAAGGTTATGATATCATATGACTACATTATGGTTGTTGATGATATACTAATACATACAAATTAATAAAGTTGTGATGATGGTAGTTCTCATTGTTGTTGATTATTTTTTTACTCTTGGTTTTCCCCAATATTTAAATTTCTTACACGAAATAATATTTCTATCTTTCTCGAATTTATTGCTTTAAAAACAATGCGCTAATCCCCTGAATCTCTGCGGTCCGAAAATGGACCGCAACTCGGTCAAAACTATTCCGGTACCTAACTACCTGATATTTGAACAAAATTTCCACGGCAATTCAGATACGATCAGTATGATGACCGCGAGACCTTCGGAAAGATTGCAAACGAGTTAGACCATAATGAATATTTTGAGTTGTTTTAAGACGGTTTTCGGGTTGGTTTATGGGCTTTAAAACTAACAACCAGATCCTTTAACTGTATGCGTCATGTAATAACAGAATAGAACATTTATAGACTTGGAATGATTATAGATTTAGCTCACGACAGTAATGATTATTTATGCGTACATAAATAGCATATTGAATGATATTTTTGTTAAAAAAAAAAACAAACTTGTTATCTGGTTTTGAATTCAGTAATACGAATAAAAATATTATTATACAAAGAATTCTTTTGCATTAGAGTTGAATAATTAAAAAAGTGACTTAACACAAATGTAGTAACCGCAGGCTTTCTAGCTTACCATTAATTTCGGGTAAATGTGCTTGTTTTTTCGCCCAATTCATTAGAGCTTCTACATCTTCTTTCTTCAAATTTTTGTCTTTGTCATATTGTGACTGAACGTCAGCCAGATGGAATGGCATTATGCAGTTTCCTAGAAAGCTATTTTAAAAATGCAAAAACTTTAACACTATCACTCTCAATTATTTTAAATATCATTTATGACTTCTCGGCAACGCTCTACAGCTGATATGTTATGTTACTGTTTTGTTTATTTTTTAGGTTTAGGGAGATGTATACAAATAGTAAGTGCGATCAATGAAAAATGGCTGCAAGGTGGCGCTGGACGAGCAAGCAGCTGTCTTTGTCGTCATCGATATTCACACGGGGGTCGAGAAAGAGAGCCAAACTTCTAGTGCCACCTACCTCGTTGTTACTAAAATATTATGTACATAAAATAATACAAAGAAACCGTGAGTTTTAAATTATTCAACAGTAATATGACATACAACTTTGTTCATTTGGAATTTACAAATACAAATATTAATACTGTTTTTAAATGCAATTTCTTACCAAGAACAGTTGAAAATATCGTGTGATTTGAAGTTTTCGAGTTTTAGCAGTCTAATTCCGAAGTTCAATAACTGATCAGTTGATCACATATTAAAAACTACTGTTTCAATACAACATAACGGTTATATTAAATTTGATGTTTGTACGATAGCAATTACTGAGTATTGTTATCACATCAGGTGTTATCTGAGACAGGTTTATCTAACTGGTCAGATTTCATTTCAGGTGTTTGTGTTTGTATTGAGTAACACAATGCACATATTATTCTAACACCTACTTGTGTGCGTGGAACCTTCGGTGATTCATCAAACACTAATTTATTTTTAAAATTGCATTTCGGATGTTTTGATCAGCAGCTGATGTTTTAGACTTGGTCGCATACTGTGTTGAACCCGAGAGCGCAATGCTGTGGCCAGGTATAAATAGTGTGAGATATAAATAGATGTGCAAGTTGAATACTTTCGGATGGTCATTCACACTCAGCCGCCCGAGTCTTTTGGTATATTTATACCTCTGTTTTGTAACATTTTGAATTATACTTTATAAATCTGTACGCAGTTTAATTTTTCTGAGATAGGAATGGCTGAGCAGTTATTCAAAACATGCTTTTAACTGCTATATTTTTTTCTTTGTACCAAGTGGAATTAAACCTTGATGAGTAACATAACTCGTTACGTGTGTTCTAAATTGTAAACATGCTTTTTTTTAATTCCAGGTTGAAGATAAGTAGGTATTAAATAAGTGGGTCGATTTATATTATATATTTCCCTGTAACTTGTACATTTTTAATGTAAATATAATATGTTCTTTTACTTAATACGGTGTTAACGTTGACTTTTTTTATGTCGTCCAAGTGGTATCACAATAGAAGCGTAAAATTCTTGAAAAATTCTTAGTAGTTTATTAGTCAATTTCCAGTTTCTTAAAAGTACCTTCTGTCCCATAAATATCAATATTCTTCCATTTCTCGCCAGGTCTTTTCTTTTCGTCGACAGTGAAAGTTTCTTCCCATTCAAAAAACGCTTTATTTTTTAAAAGGTCGTTTTGCATTTTATCTGTAACGATATAGTTTTGAGTCATTTCAAGTTACGGTCAATTAGTTATTGAACATATAAATGTACAAAAAAGTGTGCTTAGGAACAAATAAAATGAAAAGAAATGTTGTGTCTTAAATAATACTCTAATTGAAAACGTTAAATATAATAAAGTAATAAGCTAATACACGCAACAGATCTTTGATCTCTGTCACAATTTAAAACGACTTGTTGATAATTTCAGTAATGTTATTATAAATACTGTTGAAAAACAATGATGGCCTGACGTCATCCTATTGGTGGTGCGGATGATTAGCCAAATTTTGATCAACGTCTACTTGATATTCTTAATATACGTACAAAATTTGACAACAGTTAGTTCAGTAGTTTCGTAGATTATGTCTCTAATAAAAATTGGGGGCAGACTAACAGACAGATAGACAGATAGATTGACGACATACAGACGGAAACGGGGGACCACTTAGCTTACGCTTACGAAGTAAAATGAAACTTGTAGAAAAAAGAAAAAAGGAAGAAACATAACCATAAAGTAATACTGTTTATAAGAGTAACGGAAAGTGTATCCATGTAGTCCAAACTTTTTTTTAATTTTAATTCTGTAGCGAATAATAAGAAATTATTTAAATACTAGCTTTTCGCTCGTGGCTTCACTCGCGTAGACGATTCGTTGTATTGAAGAGCATTATTACCAAGTTTCAAGTAAAAATATGTTGAAGAGCATCAATACAAATTTTCAAGTAAAAATCACCATAAAAAATATTTCCTCAAACAAACTTTGTCACCCCCTTTAATTCTTAGGGACGGAATCTTGACAAAATCTAAAATCCGTGTTTCATTATTTGTGTTGAAGAGTCTTGATATTAAGTTTCACGTAAAAATTTACAGTAGAAATATTTTTCGTATACAAACCTCGCCACCACTTTTCACCCCCTTAGGGGCTGATTATCGGAAAAGGCTTAAATACGTGTTTCATTATGCATTAATAGTAAATTCCACGTCAAAACTTTACAATAGAAATATTTTTCCAATACAAACTTAGCCACCACTTTTTACCCCCACGTAAAAATGTAAGTTTACAGTAGAAATATTGGTCATATATAAATTCTACCACCTCTTTTCCCCCCTTAGGGGATGAATTTCGAGAAATTCCTTCTTAAACGATGCCTCCAGTATAAAATGAACATCCTCTTCAAGTTTCAAATTTTTATCAACAACGGTTTGGGCTGGGCGTTGATAGATCAATCAATCGGGACATTGCCTTTATACAGGGTGTTATTGAAAGGTATGTACAACAAAATTGACAGTTCTTCGCGAAGTTTAAGAAGTCTGAAAAACTTATTTTGTGTTATCAAAATTATAAGGGGAAAATGAACCCTTATCCAACCTTTTTAACCGTTACTGAAGGATAAATAGGTAAAATTAATTTATTTTAGTAAATCTTAGCAACTGTAACAACAAAACTTTTGTCAACACTAAATGTTGCTATACAAACGAAATATGATCTTTTTTTTTATCAGAGGCGTACAACGAATTTGGACCACTTTAAACATTATTAATTTAACTAGAGATCGTTATTTTATTAAAGAACCATTCACTATTGACACATGATGTACAAATTAGCAAAAAAAGAAGACAAACAAACGCACAATCAAATTTAATTTAACAAAATAACAGAAACAGACCAAGTACGATATTTTTCTAAAGAAAAAAAAAAAAAACAATAAAGGAGGCTGTTGTTGTAAACAGTGTTTTTCATCATTTGATTATAAATCCGGCAATTAATAAACGTTTTCACGCGAAAACAATTCCATTAACTTTTACAGACGTCTCTCAAATTGTCGCTCTGCTTATGTTATATTGTTAAATTAAATTTAATTCTGCATGTATTTGTTTACTTTTTTTTTGCTAATTCATACATAATGTGTCAATAGTGAATGGTTCTTTAATAAAATAACGATCACTAGTTAAATTAATAATTTTTAAAGTTTGGTTTTGCGAAAATTTTCAGGGTGGCCGTTTTTTTTGCCGGTCAGTGTGTATACAGGGTGGCCTAAATAAACGAAACAGACGGGACCGTAGGCGCTGTACTTCATTATGTGAAAATTGTTCGATCAGGTCGATATCAGCGATATCATGTCCACATTTTGTCATAAAAAGCGCTACCAGAAGTAAAAAAACAAACAGCAGGGCAGCAACATTACACAACCTTTGCAACGCTGCAGGGAGCACAAAGGCACTAAAGAAAAGCCTGGGAACGAAAGTCGCGAATGGCAATCCAGAAAGATCCTGATCACCGACTTCTAGAAGGAAATACGGGTTTAAATAGAGGCGACGGTTGGGAACGGATTTTTCATCCAGTGAAGTCAAGAGTGTCCAGTGAAATTCGTCGGAATAATTTTGTACATAATCGCTGCAATAGTTAGTCGTGTAAATGCGAGTTATTAAGAAATACATTGTTGAGTTTCATCCACGCCGAATTTATTCGCCCGCAACGTAACAGTACCATAAAAGCAAATACAAACATGTTAACTAAGAACAGTAAAATAGTCTCGACTTGAAGAGGAGTAGAAGTATTACGAATTTTATTTTTTCTCGTTTATTTTCCCTGATTTTATATGTATAAGCAGTGTAATAAATGACACTTACCATGTAATACAGTTGTACTTTCAACCGATCCACCATAATCCTCAGGTAAACATTCTAAACATACAAAATTAGTTACACTATCTAGAGAGTCGTGTATATGTATCTATAAAAAATGAATAAAATAAAAATAAATAAACAATTAGGACTTTATGTTTAAGAGCACCTTCTCTGCAGTCTCCTTCTTGAGCAAGGGTTTTATTAAAGCCATAATAGCATCAATAAATGACCCGAGGTTATAAAAATGGAGCCCCTTTAATCTTACAGGCATAGCTTCTTGTAAGTAATAGAAGAAATTTTTTAATACGAGCGGATTTACTCTAGCAGTGTGACCTAGCGACCAGCCTGTACAATCTAATAATATCACGTGACCATTGGAAACGCCATTTTGGTACCGTTCCAGCATGACCATCATATCGAAATATCTATATATATTTTCAAGATTAAAGTTACTTGGGTTTTTGTTTATAAGTTTAAAAAGGTACACTGTATAGCCTTCTGGCGTTGTTTTTGGAAGATTCGCACATAGCCTAAAATTGGATTGTAGTTTTGTTCAAAATTTTTACCAGTGTATATAGTTATTACGCAATATCAATGGTGGTCTGTACCGGTGGGGACGAAGGATCTCTGTTTCTAAACATATGAAAAACTGTTTTCGATGTGAAGTAATTGTCGATGGTGACTTTAGCTGCCTCGTTGCTATAATAACAACTGTGAAGAAATAGAATTGCTTGTAACTCTGAAAGTGAAATTCTCGCATTATGTGTTTGTAGTATTGTAACTTACCATTTATTTTTGGAAGATGTGGTTGTTTATTCACCCAGTCTATCAGTGCCTCTACATCCACTTTCTTAAGATCTTTGTCTTTCGAATATTGCGATTCAAGATCTGCTAACTTTAAGTTCATGTTGAACTGTTACGATTTTATCAGATAACAAATAACAAGCTTTTGTAGACTTTGCAGCACTTCTGGCGAATATAAATCTGATGAAACTTAATAATTTAATGAGTTTTTGCATAGCCTTGTAGAAAGTCGTCTCGAATCCGGTTTTTCTGCTAATGGGAAAGTGGACAATTTTGTTGATTAATTATTCTAATTTGTAAACTGAGGAATTAAAGAAATATAAATGTGCAATTATATTAATGACCATAAATAAGTTATTTCCAGAGATTAAATTAATAATTACTGTTACTATGGAGGCGGAGGCACTAGATAAATTTTCTATTTTTAGCAAACTTCTTGATCTTGTTTACTTAGTTTTAGTGTGACCACAATAAAATGAATTCAAATATCAATGTGTGAGTAGTTTAAAACATTTATAAATTTTTAGCCGTTCCTGTTTTTTGTTAATATTTTTTAGTTATATTTGTTACTTTTCGGTTCTAAATTCAATAAAAACATACTTCAGTGTCAGAGTGGTGTAGTAGCAACCAGATATTGCTTTTATAGTTTGAAATGAAGTAATCAAAAATGAACAAAAAAATATTAAATGCAAAAATTAAGTTATAGAAGAAAATTATTTTGTATGGTCACTAGAAGAAAAATAGCTATCGTTTGCACAGGTTTCCGTTATATTAAACACTCGTCCAAGCAGTAATAAATATAATATTTTAATAAGTTTACTCTATTTATTAACTGGACACGACCATATGAATTTCGTCAAAAATCTGATATATTTAAAAATGTTGTTAAAAATGTTTACAATTTGAAAAGTGCCAAAACTATCTAAAATAAAAAAAGGGAAAATACTAAAAAGAACAAGAGCGTTGTTAGAATATAAAATTAGTGGCAGGTTGAGATCATTTATAACGGTTTATTTTTGTTTTACTATTTTTCTATATTTCGGAAATCGCTGTGCTCATTTTCAACAACGCTTTTTGACAAATTAAAGCGTCTGGTGGTTGTCAAATGTCAAAATTCAATTCCAAAGCCTTCGTTCCATTCGCAGGTGTAGCGCAGGGGTCAAACTTGGGTCAACTATTTTTTTTATTTATTCATGATCTCAAATTCGATTAACAGCGAATATTTCAAAATGTAAAATTGTGTTCTTTTCACGAAAGCAATTCATATTCTTCGCTGGTTACAACATTAATAGCTACAGTACTAAAAGGTTAGAAGCGTTAAGGATTTGGGAATAGTCTTTGACCGCGAGTTAATGTTTGAAAATTGAGGAAATAATAGGTATACGTTTTCAAAATGTTTTTTCCTTATGAGATCTAGGCTCGAATATGAACGTTTACATCCTCAGGTTGTAGGCTATACAGAGAACTTCTTAAAGCTTTTGGTATTGAATCAAGTTAGTGTATGTTTGTTTTAACCCCTTAATTAAGATAATCTTTATAATTGCATTTTTAAAAACCTCAGCTGAGCAACTTTAAACCATTGTTTTAATGACTCAATTTTTTTTTGATTCGTTAGTTTGCTTGTCAACCATATTGACATCAAGTCAGAGAAATTTTCTTTTACTAACTTTGTGATGTACCCATTTGAAAAATTGGGTTCGAATAGGATGGACAATTCAATTACCCTACAGGTTGATAGTTTGGGGTTGGAATGCAAAGAGTTTGGTAAAATTTAAGCGCACTTGAGCTAGTTGTTTCAGTTGTGGTGAGTGTACACACTTAGCAGTTTATAATTTCACTAAAAAGTAATTGTTTAAACAAAAATGAGACCGCATTCGACGCCATGGTCTTCCTTAACTTAGTGTAAGATTAGTTTGTTAACTATTTTCTAATTTGAAATGTTATGGATTCCGCTAACATTATAATTTTGTTTTACAGTTTGTAAATTCACCATTAAGCTTTTTTACCGTCCATGGTAATAGAATTTAATGTATGTAAAACACGTGGCTGAAATTCATTAATTCAGGATCAACTTTTATTTAAGTTATTATATTATTCATACTTCAAAGTGAACGTGGGAAATCAAATTTTGAACTCAACTGAGTACAACGAAGCTACCAAGGCAATCATAATATTACAAAATTGCCCATGCAATTGCACTACAGTCCAAAATGTAATTACTTACCAAAAAGAATAACATTTCTTTGTTACTGTTAAACTTCAAATATTTGATTTTTCAGTTCATTTATTTCCTTTGATATTTCTGATTGCAACTTATCAATAATGAATTTTGAAGATAAAGGTCTTTCATTATTGCAATTGGTCGTAGAAAAAATAGTGTACAACTTTCATTTAATGGCCATTAAGACACGCGTATCATTACGCCAAAGCTCGTGTCGTAATTCTCACACTCGTGTCTTAATGGCTATCATTAAATGATCGTTGATATGCATTGATTAGATTAATAACAAACTTTCGAGATCCTAGAATTACAGCATACAAATTGGTCTGTTATTATTCTCTAATTTCACTCCATTCCCAAGAGTCTAGCATAACTACTTTTTAATATTATTATTATTGTTATTAATGATATTCTTAATTTGAAATTTTTGTAAACACTAGACAACTATTAATGATTTTATGTAATAAACAAGTATTTTGTTGACATCGAACAAACAAATCAAGGTCTTAGATTTCTAGAACGTCAGAAAATTAATTGATTGGTAAACAGTTCATGCTTTAAAAACGAGGTAAGTATATGCTTACCTGGTGGACCAATGTTTAACGTGTTTAAGTCTTTGGGTGCTTCACATGTTATTCACATGAGGAAGAAACTATTTACCTTCTAAAAATATTGATGCAATTCATGTAAAGACAACAATGATATTTAATAATAATATTAATATTAATAATAAAAAAAAAATCTTCACACAGTATAGAAGGCATCATCCAAAATCGTCGATTGAAAGATTGTCATTACCAAGACAGTATGGAGGAAAGGGTTTCCAGAACCTAGAAAACTTATATCAGAGACAAATCTCAGATTTGAAGAAGTATTTCTTGAAACGAGCGGAAAGAAATGAAATGTTTCGCACCATCACAAGAGCAGATTTGAACCACACACCCTTAAATCTGTCGAACACCGAAGAAATCCACACACCCACACAATAGACAAAATAATAAGTGGGCTAAAACAAAAACAACTACATACATGGAAAATTCTACAAAGACTTAGAAGAAACTCATGTCAATAAGAAGATGTCATTGATTTGGTTAAAAAAATCAAGTTTGTATGCCGAAACAGAAAGATTTGTGTTTGCTATTCAAGACCAAGTAATCAATACCAAGAATTACAGAAAATACATCATCAAAGATCCGAACATAAGAAACGACTGCTGTCGCCTCTGCAAAGCAGAACCTGAAACGATCCAGCACATAATCTCCTCCTGCAGCATCCTAGCACAAACTGACTACAAAGCTAGACACGACAACGCCGCCAAAATCATCCACAAAGAATTAGCAACACTTATGAACTTAATCGAAGATACGACACCCTATTACACTTACATTCCATCTCCGCTCCTTGAAAATAACAAACACAAATTATACTGGGATCGCACAATACTTACTGACTTAAACATTACAGCTAACAGACCAGACATCATACTTATCAAAAAACACACGAACAACATTATTCAAACATACCACACCAAGATTTCAAAATATCTACAATTATCGATGGAAATGAAATCCATGTTGAATCTTAAAAAAATTTCAATTCTACCCCTAGTTATCTCTAATGTAGGTGTAGTTCCAAATAGCTTAGTTGAGAATTTAAAGTCTTTGCATTTGAATGATTGTCAAAATTCAAAAAGCTGTTTTGTTAGGAACATGTCATATTGTTCGTAAGTTTCTCGAACAGTCTGATCATGTCAGTCAGATTAGATTAGCACCAGTAGGTCAGAGTAGTGTAGGTCACTTTCCAAGTGATGCGCGGATAAATGGTCGGTAGTTACGCTAGACTTTTGGGGATGAGGTGAGATTAGAGAATAATAGCAGACTAATTTGTATGCTGTAATTCTAGAATCTCGAAAGTTGTTTTGTTCATCTAATCAATGCATATCATTACTTGGTCTTAGTACCCGTAATGATAGAAGTCTTGCCTGAATGCCGGTCATTTCCGGGTCAGTGGTGGGTCTTAATAATATGTCATTTATTGTCCAACAGATTTACCACTTATAGGACAATATTAATAACAATTATTAAGTGTGATTAACAAAATAAAGTTAAATAAAGAAAATTAACATTAAAAAAATTGGTCTAAAGAGTTTAGACAGTACTTCCCTCGCTGTCGGAAACTTGACGACTGCATGCCTATTGTGTTTTTTTTCTCATTACATTTTTGTAGTGGGAATTTAAAAAAAAATTGCGATGACGTCATCAACATTTTTGCAAGGACACGTATATCAGTTGGGATAGATGTAGTGTAATACTAAGAATAAAATTATTATATTCTCAAATTTTCGGGAAAATGAATTGGGTCGTTTTGAATATTGATTTGTAATAATCAATAAAATAACGAAACAATTTACTCACGTATACGTATCAGAGGCAACTGAAAATCGTGTATGTATAAACATTCTTAATTTAAGATGACAGGCGTAACAGCATACGTGAGAGTCAAACAGAGAAACTGTAAACAAAACGACCATCGGTTTTATTGCTTCGACTTCCGCTTATTATATAAAACATTGGGTTTTATTTTAATTCTTGACGGTGAAATTCACAATTGGTTGATTATAAACATGTCTATTTCACATTCGCGGAACCAAGTGAGCGCATAAAACAAATGCAGGTCTGTAATGTTAAAGTCGATGTAAATAAGCGTGCTACCCTTATGTTTCAACCGAGTTTTTCCTTCAACAAATTTTGTGTCTACCAAATTGGGTTGGTTGGGGTGTAATACTAATAATAAGTGTTGCCTTTAATTTAATCAATAAAATAAATTGACTTCATTAATTTTTTTGAACCACCTCTTAAGAAAATCTAAAAAATATGAATGGAATGATAAATCACAAGTACAAACTCATCATATTTTTTGCATTTTAGATAGGATTTATTCAGCAAAATTTGAGGGTGACGTCATCAATTTTTTTTAGGAGGGATGAACAAATACATTTTGAACAAAAGTTTACCATGCTTATAATAACTTTAAAATATTCCCAAGATTTCAAAGCATTCGGTTTTGTAATTCCTGATTAAATCGATAAAATAAATTCACGCCTTCATTAATTTTTTTGAGTCACCCTGCATATGCAAATCCAAAAATATGATTGGAATGATAAATCACAAGTACAGACTCATCATATTTTGTACATTTTAGATACGATTTATTCGGCAAACTTTTGAGCTGACGTCATCAGTTTTTTGTAGAAGATAACCAAATATATTTTGACTAAAAATTTATTATGCTCTTTATAACCTTAAAACATCTGCAAGATTTCAAAGCATTCGGTTTTGTAGTTCCTGATTAAATCAATAAAATAAATTTACGCATTCATTAATTTTTTTGAGTCACCCTGTATATGCAAATCGAAAAAATTTGAATGGAATGATAAATCACAAGAAGAGACTCACCATATTTTGTACATTTTAGATAGGATTTTTTCAGCAAAATTTTGTGGTGACATCATAAATTTTTTAGGGGGGACGACCAAATACGTTTTGATCAAAAATTTACCATGCTTATGATAATTTTAAAATATCTTCAAGATTTCGAAGCATTCGGTTTTGTAGTTCCTGAGTAAATCAGTAAAATAAATTTACGCTTTCATTTATTTTCTTGAATCACCCTGTATATGCAAATCCAAAAAATATGAATGGAGTGATAGATCACAAGTACAGACTGATCATATTTTGTACATTTTAGATATGATTTATTCGGCAAATTTTCGAGCTGACGTCATCAAGTTTTTGGAGGGGATAAGCAAATATATTTTGACTAAACATTTATTATGCTCTTTATAACCTTAAAACATGTGCAAGATGTCAGAGCATTCCGTTTTGTAGTTCCTGATTAAATCAATAAAATATATTTACGCATTCATTAATTTTTTTGAGTCACTCTGTATATGCAAATCCAAAAAATATGAATGGAGTGATAAATGACAAGTACAGGCTCATCATATTTTGTACATTTTAGATATGATTTATTCGGCAAACTTTCGAGCTGACGTCATCAAGTTTTTGGAGGGGATAAGCAAATATATTTTGACTAAACATTTATTATGGTCTTTATGACCTTAAAACATCTGCAAGATTTCAGAGCATTCGGTTTTGTAGTTCCTGATTAAATCAATAAAATATATTTACGCATTCATTAATTTTTTTGAGTCACCCTGTATATGCAAATCCAAAAAATATGAATGGAGTGATAGATCACAAGTACAGACTCATCATATTTTGTACATTTTAGATATGATTTATTCCACAAACTTTTGAGCTGACGTCATCAAGTTTTTGGAGGGGATAAGCAAATATTTTTTGACTAAAGATTTATGATGCTCTTTATAGCCTTAAAACATCTGCAACATTTCAAAGCATTCTGGTTAGCAGATTAAAAATTAAATTTCAAAATGTTGTTTTATAATTTTGATTTTTTTTCCAAAAATCTGGACGTTTCGGGTGAAAAGTCGATTCAGAGTTGTAAACTACATGTGTAGGACTATGTTATTTTATACAATTGAAAACCCATTTACTATGTACAATTTTGAAGTGACGTCATCGCATTAGTGGTGGGGATGATTAGACAAATTTTGGTTAGCGTTTTACCATCTACATGATATTCTTAATATAAGTACAAAATTTCACAACAATCGGTCGAGTACTTTCGGAGATTATCTGTCTAATAAAAATCCGGGACAACAGACGGACAGACGGACGGACAGACGGACAGACAGACGGAAATGGGAGACCTATTTCTTCGTCTTCTAGGGGTCATGAAAGATCGAGAAAACGTAAAAGTAGAGAGTCGGCCGACGGACTCGATTACAATACTTCCTTTGCTTACGCTCGGGAAGTAAAAAGGACCAATATTAGAGCCCTGCGGAACTCCGGAATTAGCTGAGAATTTATAAGACACATAACCACTAGTTATAAGCAACGTAAGATGTCCTGTCTTTTAAATAAGAACGCATTAACAGCAATGAATCCTCATACAATCCATACAAATCGAGCTTTTGCAAAAGAATACTGTGTTGAATTGAATCAAAAGCTCGAGTGAAATCAGTGTAGACCACATCAGCTTGACCTCGAATATCAATGATTTCACTTAAATATTGCGTGATAGTGGCTAAATTACTGTAGACCGACCACTAATAAAGCCATGCTTATAGGGAGAGATATATTTTTTTACATTACTGTAGATTGTTAAATATAGTGATTGTTCAAAAACTTTTGAAAAATTTGGCAATATAGAAATCTATCTGTAATTCAACACATCTGAACTATCACCTTTCTTCAAAATTGGGCAGATCCTGGCGCATTTCCACTTTGATGGAAAGGTTGAAGTTTTAATGGCAAGGTTGAAAATAATTGACAATGGTTTTGCAAATGCATATTTACAATCCCGAACAATGAATCTCGGGATTAGATCGTCTCCCGCTGTTAATTTATCATGAAATTTGGACATTATATTAATAAGTTCAAGTAGGCTGACGTAAGGAAATTGAAATGGTAAAGCGTTACTTGAAGATTGAGATGGAATGTGTGCAGAATCACTTGAGTATGATTTTGAAAAATTGTCTGCAAAAGCATTAACTATACTTTGTGGATCAGTGTATTCGGTAAAACCATTGTAAACTCGACCAGGAATTCTTGTAGAACTTAATTTAATGTACAAAACAGGTAAAACAGTTAAGATCGGTTGCATTTTTACTTTTCGAGCGTATGCTAAGAAATTATTGTAATAGGGTACATCCGGCGAATGGCCACTTTCATGTTGTTTTGACGTTTTATGACCGTCAGAGTATAAAATAGACCTCCCGTTTCCGTCTGTTGTCTTTTGTATGTCTATCGTTTGTCATCTCTGTCAATACTTATTTGACAGATAATTTTAGAAACTACCAGATTCCCGGCTTAGTGTTTGCTAAATTTGTTAGACCTAGATGTATATTCGATTTACTGTTCAACTGTTCAATTTTTAAAATTCTTAAATAATTTTTGCAATGCCATGATAAATGCATTCATATTTTTTAGATTTGCTTATACAGGTAGCTCAAAAAATGAATGAATGAGTCAATTTATTTTATTGATTAATTAAATCAGGAACGGCTCATTCCATTTTCCCAGAAAATTTTGGGAAAACAATACTGTTATTTTTAATATTACAGTGCATCAATCCAGGTTGATATATGTGTCATTGCAAAAATGTTGATGATGTCATCACCAAATTGTGTAAAATAAAAACTCAACTCGAAAATGCTGAATATGTTTCATTGTACTTTAGGTGTAAGGGAAGTTTTGTCGAAACAACTTTGGACCAATTTTTAATTTGGGTTGTGTTTGTGGCACCATTACTTGTATGGGTGAAGGCCTTGGATAGTTTATATTTTTCTTTTTCCCCACTCTGTACAGACTTTGAGTAGCATTTAGTATACATAGTAAGCATGTCCTCAATTCATGTATTTAATACATATAATTGCAAAACATTCATTACCTATCATAAATAATCTTCGCATTTAAACTCGTCAGAATTCAATTCAGTTGCTTGAAGGTTAATTCAAAAGTTATATACAAAGTTTCGCTAAAGTAGTATCTACGCTGTTACTGTATAGCGCAAACATATAGAAAATCTTCTGATTTCTGGGATTTTTGCTCGCATTTGACACCAACAATTTCAATAATTCACGATGGAACTGATATTAGTGGACGTCGAATCACAGTACGCCAAAGACAAAAATTTGAAAAAAGAAGACGTAGAGGCACTTTTAGACTGGGTGAATAAACAACCACATCTTCCAAAAATAAATGGTAAGTGACAATATTACAAACTCACAATATTAGAATTTCATTTTCAGAATTACAAGCAATTGTTTTCCTTCACAGTTGTTATTACCGAAATGAAGCGGCTAAAGTCACCATCGACTATTTTTTCACAGTTAAAACGACATCTGATATGTTTAGAAATAGAGATCCGTTATCTGCACCAGTACAGAATGCCTTTAGGACTACGTAACTACCATTTAGACTAGTAGAAATATTTCAAATCTTCTGACCAATTGCAGCCTCTGTTCCATACTTTCCAAGAAAACTCCCGAAGGCTATGTAGTTTGCTTTTTCAAACTGTTAGATTCAAATCCAAGTAACTTCAATTTTGAGAATATAATCCGATTCGCTGATATGGTTAACACACTGGAACGATTTCAATGTGGCATTTCCACCGGTCACGTGTTATTGCTAGATTTGGCAGGACTGTCATTAGGACACATTGCTAGAGTAGGTCCTCTTTCATTAAAAACATTTCTCTTTTACTTACAGGAAGCCCTGCCTGTACGATTGAAGAAAATACATGTTTACAATGCAGGGCAATTTGTTAACACGCTTATGAATTTAGTTAAACCTTTCCTGAACAAGGAGACTGCAGAAAAGGTACTATGACAAAAACATGAGATTTTATTAACGAATGTTTTGCAGGTAATTATACACCAGTCATTTGACAGTTTAACAAAAGATATACCTTTGGAATGTTTACCTGAGGATTATGGTGGCTCAGAACAAAGTATCGCTGAATTACATGGTAAAGTAACTTATATTTATGAACATGCTGTAAAAATACGATCTTGTTACAGCGAAAATTAAAAAGAACCTCTTAGAAAACAAGGCGTTGTATGAGTGGGAAGAAACTCTCATTTTGGACGAAAAGAAAAGACCCGGTGGAAAATTTATGAATACTAATACTTATGGAGCTGATGGTACTTTCAAGAAATTGCAACTTGATTAACGTCTTTAGAGAAATAGTTAGGAGCCTTCCATTTTTGTTTAGTATATGATATAAGATATAATATATCCCTATTTTAAATTTAATGGCAAGCTATAAAAACTGCGAAGCATTATGGGATATTTGCCGATAACACAGGTCTACAAAATAAAAAAAGCCTTATGACTCCTCCTTACAATCACTAAAATGTGCCAAAATAAGGCAAAACGCCGTGTCCCATTTCATCCATCATAACATCTAAAGACTCATACGACATAATATTGTTACGAAATAAACCCATAACCTCCCCGGTGCGACGCCTATGAGTTTTTCTAGTATGTGTGTCGATGAACGGTTACTCAATCTAGAGCCGGTTACCGGAAGTCTCGAAGTGGAATCGCGATGGATGTTCGTGAAAGATCTCGATCGGAGAAGTATGGGTTTAAATAGAGGCGACCGTCGGGAATGGATTATTCAGCTAGTGAAGTCAGCCAAGAGCGTCAAGTGAAATTCGCCGGAACAATTTCTGTACATAATCGTTGCAATAGATAGTTAGTCGTGTAAATACCGGTTATTAAGAGATAAATTGTTGAGTTTTACCTACGCCCGATTAATTATTCCCCCGTCAAACGTAACAATATGTTCCTATTGGCAAACACAAATCTTCACGGGAATAATTTTTATATTGGATTAAAGTTTTTCGTTTAAAAAATAAAAATTGAAAACGAAAAACTTATTTTCACTTCCCGAGCGTAAGCGAAGGAAGTATTGTAATCGAATCCGTCGACCGAATATCTACTTTGCGTTTTCTAGACCCCTGCATGAAGATCCTTGGGGGGGGCTGCGCTACCTCAGCCTTTTCCGCTGTTAGGCTTTAAGGCGTACCCTGAAGGGCGAATCCTCCATCAAGAAGCTTTTCACGATCCCTTCGAGTCCAATACCAAATGCGGGTCGACACTGGGGTTCGGCAGTCCCCGATGGAGCTTTGCGCCTGTCCCGAGGTACCAGGCTTTGTTAGTTCGAGGGGGCACCTCGATGAGATAGATAAATACTGGTGAACCCTCGTCACCCGTATCCTTCCTTGATGTGGATCGTTTGGACCACCCCCCAGCACGGTCTGACGTCCGTTGCTAGCTACCCAGTCCGTACCTTTGGAGGTGTGGTTGGCTGACTTGATGGGGTGTGAAATAAATTTCGGCCTTTTGAAGCAAGTGAAAAAAGCAAGTCAACTCGGAGGTAGCCGCTACACTCCCCAACTGCTGAGTTGAGTCTCCCTAGATAACTTACTAAGCCGAAATTGAACCGCAATGATCCTAATTTGAACCATCATTTGAATTCATATTGAGAGGCAAAGTTCACATATAAAATTATCTTCCTCTCCAATCCCGGCGCATTCTTCATGAATCCACTTAGAACATCGGCTACAGCAAGTTCATCCCTCTCCACAACGTGACCTTTTGTAGGTGTCTCCACAATACAGGCACTCTGTGTTTTCTTCGCCACTCTCTTCCTCTTCGGGGCTTATCTGAGGTGTCGACGGGTTATGCTTAACTTTTTTTACTGTTACCTTATTTTTTTTCCAAATAAATATCTTATCACATTTTTTCCCGCGATTGCTCTACTCCTTTATATGGTGTGCTTGTTAATTCCATAGCAGATTGGGATGCCTTGCCTTGTCATTCACTTGTTTTTTTGCTTCCGGTCGGTAGTGGCGAAATCTCGTACAAACTGAACTGTTTTTTTATTGACTGAAGGGGCGAGGAATGTCTTCTGCAAGACGGAATAAGAGATTCGCTCATATTTTTGGCAACTAGTTGATGGAAGGGGCGAACTAAGTGAAGAGCAGCTTTGTTGTTGACCTGGAGTAGGAATGACCCTATGATCTAGTGGGGAATGTAATACTTCTGACGAATGTCTGGTTAAAATAGAAGATACACTAGTATCTTTAATATAGCTATTTGATGGAAAGGGTAAGCTAAGTCAGGAGCGCTTTTGCTGTTGGTCAGGGAAAGAAGTGATCATACAATCAACTGGTAGGGGTAAGATTGCTGTGGGCTGTGGGAGACTCTGTGCCTTCCGCTGTGTCAGATTGTAAAAGAGTAGATGATGCAAAGTCATGATCTTGGAATTTATGATGGTTTACTGGACAAATTCCTGCTCGTCTGAAGACTCCTGCTGCAGTTCCAACAGTGGTTGCACGGCCGTACGCTTCTCCTATCAATACTACCACATTATAAAAGATATTGGAGTTCGAGGATTAGCACGCATCCATGATTCTTGGACTTGCACATAACAATTCTGTAAGGGTTTAAAGAAAGCCATGTCTAAAGACTGAAGTCAATGGGTAGTATGACCTGGCAAGTGGAGCAAATGGAAATGATTTTTTTTGCAAACTGCAAAGCCTCTAAATATTTGCCATGCGTACAATGTCCATCTAATAAAAGCAAGACAGGTTTCTCAGAACCGGATTTAACTATTGAATGAAAGTGTTTTAACTACTAAGAAAAAGCTCCGAATTAATATATCCACTGTCAGAAATTTCGGAAATACTACCTGGAGAAGCTCCAGTTCTTAGTTCTAGAATACTTCGCTTTCTTTTATAAATGATCATCGGTGGAATGTAAAGGCCTGTTGCATTTATGCAGCACACCGTAGTAAGCACTCCTCTTTTTCCACTAGTGATTCCCCCAACCTATCTTTTACCGTGTTAGCAATGATTTTTTGTTTTCTTTTTTGAACCGTACTATAACCTGATTCATCTATGTTGCAAATGGTGTTCGATATAATTTTATCCGCAAGTTGCTTTAAAATATCAAAAAATTCCATGACTCGTTGTTTATTAAAGCCTTTTTCAAACGTAGTAGATCGCCCTATGACTTTCTTGATATCGTTGGCTACTTTATTTTCGTGGTTAAGTGTCTCTTTAAAGTCGCTTTCGGCACTGCAAATCTTCTTTGGCGCTCATTAAGCCCGACCCCACTAGAGCGATACACTTCAACAAACATTTCAAGGTCCTGCTGAGTGCAACGTCCGTACTTTCCTCTTTGGATATTCTGGAAATGAACAAGATTTCTAATTAGTTAAAAGGCTGCCTTTTGGCTCGTAGGGCTTTTAATACATTTTCAAAATGCAATATCTCTATTATTAGCAGACTTACTGTTTTTTAATTTTATTAAAAATTTTGCATCACATCTTTAAAAATCAAAAGTCTCTTTTTTAAGGAAATTATGAAACGCGGTTTTTGTCACTGCTTTCAGTTTACAAAACTATGTATTATGTAAATCCTAAGAAAACATTGTCCACCGTTTTTGTCAGTGAAAATAAGAAGGAACAGTTATATAGTTTTAAGCTGAAAACAGTGGTGAAAACCGCGTCCCGAAATTTTCATAAATAATTAAGGTGTTGACCTAAATTTCACCACAATTTAGTAAAAGATGATAATCGATTATTGCGTTTTATCCTACAAGTAATGGACAAGTTATATTTAAAATTTCATAACAATAAATCTGTTAATACTGGAAATATTACATTCTGAATACGATTGAACACACCACAAGAGCCAAACGTGGCGACTCGCCTTAAATAGAACCGCTCCAATGTAAGATGCCAAACCAGGTTCAAATAGGGCACCTTTACGAATTTTCTGTCCATCTAACCTCCACCTTTTATCTCAGTGCTTAACAGCTTTACTTTATAGTAAGATGCTTTAAAACACTTTAAACATTGTGTAGAAAAATTCAAAAATACTTACCTTACAAACACAACAAGTTATCACTTTACAAACAAACTAGATTATAACATCATGATGTGGAGATATTTTTACGTTTTTTTTTTACAATAGTGAAGACAGTATTCTTCAATTTTACTAATTCAGCAGTTGACTTACAACTAAAGTTTTTGTTCCATACCAACAGATGTCACTTATATATGCCCAATTAGCTAAAATGACTTGGTTCCAAATTAGGAGACGGTTCAAACTACGCAACCCTCCCCTATTCTACTCACGGGTGGTAATGACGACTACTCACTCAGAAGAATTACATACCCGCCATGCGGTTCGTGTGTAAAAGTGATGTTCGTGAGTATCGCCATTGTTACCCGCTATTGAATAACATATTGTGGCTTATCAAAATTGTATAATTTTGTCACCAAATAGAAACAAACTAAGTATTACAACTGGTTTGATGAATTATTATTTATCAACCAGTGTCACCTAATGCTTCGTAGTTTTTATATCTTCCTAGAACACAAAGGATTGAAACCCCATAACTATTTAACATGTTAATCAAGTTCTAATTTCTTGAAAGTACCATCGGCCCCATAAGTATCAATAGTTTTTGATTTGCCACTTTGCCTTTTCTTTTCGTCCAAAATGAGCGTTTCTTCCCACTCATACAACGCTTTGTTTTCTAAGAGATCCTTTTTAATTTTCGCTGTAACAGGATCGTATTTCTATAGTATGTCCTTAAATTTAATTAACTTTACCATGTAGTGCGAAGATACTTTGTTCTGATCCACCATAATCTTCAGGTAAACATTCTAAAGGTATAAATTTTGTTAAACTATCAAGTGACTGATGTATAGATATCTACAAAATATTCGTTAATAATATAAATCGTGTTTCAATTATAGTACCTTTTCTGCTGTCGCTTTGTTCAACAAAGGTTTAAGTAGATTCATAAGTGTGTTAATAAATGGCCCTGCATTGTGAAAATGTATTTCCTTCAGTCTTACAGGCACGGCTTCCTGCAAGTAAAAGAAAAACGTTTTTAACGCGAGGGGACCTAGTCTGGCAGTGTGTCCTAATGACCATCCTGTCATATCTAGCAATATCACGAGACCCGTGGAAATGCCATATTGATATCGTTCCAGCGTGTTAACCATATCGGCGTATCTAACTATATTCTCAAAATTGAAGTTACTTGGGTTTGTATCTATCAGCTTGAATAAGTAAACTATATAGCCTTTAGGTGTTTTTTTGGAAAGTCTAGTGCAGAGGCTGCAATTGGTATAAAGATTAAAAACAAAATTACTAATTTAAATGGGAGTTACGTAGCACTAGTAGCATTTTGAACTGGTGCAGATAAAGGATCTCTATTTCTAAACAAGTCAGACGTTGTTTTGACTGTGAAAAAATTGTCGATGGTTACTTTAGCTGCTTCGTTTCGATAGTAGCAACTGTGAAGGAAAAGAATTGCTTGCAACTCTGAAAATGAAATTCTAGCATTATGTGGTAATATTGTCACTTACCATTAATTTTTGGAAGATGCGTTTGTTTATTCGCCCATTCTAAAAGTGCTTCTATGTCGCCTTTTTTGAGATTCTTGTCTCTTGCATATTGAGATTCGACGTCTGCTGATATCAGATCCATTGTGAATTGTTTAAATTATTGTTGGTGTCAAATGTGACCAAAAATCCCAAGAGTCAGGTAGTTTTCTATTTTGATGTTTGCGCTGTCCAGCAACGCTGTAGATACTGCTTTAGAGAAACCTGTGTATTACTCTTATCAGGTTTGAGTTAACCTTCAAGTAAATAAATTCAGTGTAGTTTGAACACTAAAATAATTTATGATAGGTAATGATGGTTTTTGAAGTAACTATTTAATAAAATAGATTTTTTTCAGTAATTTAAAAACTGCAATTCATTGTTTACAGAAAAAAGTTGTAGATCGGAGTCCAGAATCCAAGTTGATTGTCAAAACGGGTTTCGTTGGAATAATTTCCTATGATTTTTGTTCATGCTTCAGAATTTTCTACTTCATTTTGGTGTTTACACTTTTATTGTTAGTATTGTAGTCAGTGGCACACAATGTAGTATTTGTTGTAATTTTTACAAAAATTTAATGAAATACTTGTAAAAAATTCGTTGTCTCAAACTGACGTGGAGTCAGTGTCACAACGGAGTATTTAATTACTTAAATCGTCAACATAATTAATAACAATAATAATAATATTAACGCCATTTAAATAGTTAACACTGGTTTTTAGCAGTTAAACATATTTTGAATCATTATCTTCTTACCAAAGTACATTAATTTTACTTGCCGACCTTAAGCTAAAGAAATATTGTAATTAAGTCCAAAGGACAAGGTTTTATGACACCTGGAGACCTGGAGTACGAAAAATAGGTCTCTCGTTTCCGTCTATCTGTCTGCGGTCTGCCGTCTCTCCGCATCTGTAGTGATCGAATTTGAATCAAATTTTTGTGCTGAAATTAATTAACAACAGGCGAAAGCGCTTGGGGGAAGTTATGTATGTTTAAGTTCGAGGGCGGTGGTCGTCTTGGTAGACAGAGGGCAGCACGGCGAGGAGTCAGTCTGGGTTTGTTTTTGTGAATATAACCACGTGGTAAGAGCTAGTTTAAATTAGGTGGTTTGGTAGTTCATAAAAGGGAGGAAGCCTTTGTTTAACGAAAATTAATCGTAACGCCAATGGTGCCAAGTTTTCCCCAACTCACGCGGCGAATTTTTGCGGCTTTTAATCGGGAAAACATCTGATCTTTTGACGCGGACCACGTGGTGTAAATTTGTTTTATTGTTTGTAAATTCACCAATCAAGTTAGTTTTTTTTAATCGTCAAAATTTTATTTGCATTGATTCAAAACATAAACGTAGGGTTTTTGTACTTGTTCGGTTTCCCATATGTGTATGTCTGTCAACTCGCAGTTGTCTCTTTCTTTCATATTTTTATGTGTTTCATTTGCGATGTATTATATGTGGGTGAATAAACCATAGGGGGTTTTTGGGGCTGAGGAGTGAGGGTGAGATGACCAGCCACTTGTCGCCCTCGCTCGCAGCTCCTTTACCTCCTAGAGAGGGGGTGCGATTTTTAGCCTCCTCCCAAAAATTGTGTCTATTATTTCTTGCGCTCTCGACTCGCACGTAGTGTATGCTCACTTGTATGAAAGAACGTCTTCCCGCCATTAAAAAAAAAAAACGTAATTTTGGTTTTTTGAATTTTTCGCGGGCCTTTCAAACTTTGTCAAGGTCAATTTAAGGCGGGAAGTTTGGGTTATCACACATCTGATTCGATTTGTGTCGATTTTTATTAGATAGATAATTTCCGAAGTAACTAAGTAGTGGACCCACCGGTATGAGTCTTTACTTAGCTCTGAATAAAGTCGATTATGCTTAACTTACAAAGTTTTTAAAGCAATTGTTTGTTAATCAATTAATATTTTCACGTTTTAAAGAGACTTTGATTTGTTTGTTCTATGCCAACTGAATACTGGTTTATTACATAAGTTCGTAATTAAGTCTTGTTAATTTGAAATACATATACATATATGGGTAGCAAGGTGAATGATTACAGCAATTTTCCAAACCTGTATCTAATTGAAAACTTAGTTCTAGTAAGTAGTTAAACAAGTTTTCCCACGCCCCACATCGTAAATGAGTTATTAAATTGTGGGTATCGTTGGTGATTTTGAGAAATAGCGACGGTTACGGTTTTCAGATTTTTATTAGATGCTCATGGTTTGAGAGCTCGAGGGAGAAGTTAAAGAAGGGTCTTTGAATGGTCGACAGGTAGGCAGGTAGACGCAAGATAGGACGTATTTACATTTGTACAGATTTACATAAATTATGAATGCGTTTAAGTCCATCACGTGATTTTGTGGGAACGGTTGTTCCTATAAAGTCATTAACCGTTAACTAGATTTTATCACAAGGGCAACGGGTAAAAATGTTGATTACTTACGTCATTATAGAAAAAATAAAATTCGATTTTTTAATAAAATTTAATGTAGATGAAGTCTTTTTATAATTTACCGATCGCAAGCAAAGAAGTATTGCACTAGGATCCAACGGACGAATAGCTACTTTTACGTTTTCTCGACTCGTAGAATACGAAAAAATAGATCTCTCATTTCCGTATCTCCGTTTCTCCGTCTGTCGTCTGTCGTTTGTTTGTATCGATTTTTATTAGAGAAATAATCTTCGAAACTATTGGACCGATTGTTGTTAAAATTGTATATGTGATTTAAGAATATTATTAGATGTAAAATGTTAATGAAAATTTGTTCAATGATCCCCACCAACAATTAAATGACATAAAGTCAGTTTTTTCATAGTAACTTCTATTTAAATAAAGTAACATATTCCTGTGCTTGTGGTTTATGAATCCGTTTTGATTTTTATCACGATTATTTTACAAACATTTATGTGCGTTATTTCATGTCAGGTAGATGACACTTCGGGGATGTACTTAGCTGTGTTTAGGTAATCTCGGTTTTTTGCTCCTCCTCGTAATGCTCGTTATTTCATGTCAGGTAGATGACACTTCGGGGATGTATACTTGTCCAAAAGGTATAAGGTTATATGACCATCATAAAAGTAGTTGACCGCAAATAAATACCCCCTTTGTGTGGTTCTGTTGTAGACCTCGGTCACAACAAAGGGTTCTTCCAATTTGTTAGAAGACACTTTTATTCACCACGTTACTTTTATTCGCGTAGGGAAAATTTAGTAATGAAGACAGCTTCTTCACCAATACTACTTTTATTCAGGAACGAGTCGACAAGTTATGATCGCAAATATCAGGCGTACCAAACAGCACCGACAGTAATTAACTTTTAATTATTTATATTCTGAATGTCTTCACACTGATCACCAATTTATGTCTTGGAAACAAAGAAAGTACAATACTTGATCTCTGATAACAGTCACATGAGTTACGGAGAACTACAGCTATCAAATACAAATACAGTCATTGAATACAAATACTAAATGCAAACAGTGGAAACTTGTGAACTCGATTTACATTAATTTAACATTAATTGATTATATTGTAACATATTCGTAATAAAAATAGGAGGTCCGTAACACCTCCCCCCTTAGAAAAGAATTCATCCTATTTATATTGCGGGCTGAATTCTTGCTGTTTCCGTCCACTGTGTCCAGTTGGAGTAGAGGGTGGCTGATAATGCGACTGACAGCCATTTTCATTGTCATCGTCATCAGTCGTCAATTCTCCAGACTGATGGTGCATCAACCCTGTCATCTGGAATTGGGTTGGAATTTTGCTTGGTCTCTTTCGTCTACAACAGTGTGATACAATATTATTTATAACGGAATTTTGATTAGAGATCCTATCGTCTTTACAATTCTTGTAGTAACAATAAATAAATCTATAAGATATGTAAACAATTATAATGAGTATAAATATATAAAATAACAATGAGTAATGAGACAATGTATTTACATAATTGGATTCTCGTTCAGTTTGTTCAATTAAACTGGAAACTTCTTGAAAACTTTTGCTAGCTAAATTTAACTGATGGTAATTGTGAATATTATACAATCTAGGTACATACAGGGAAAAGTCTGTACTATTGCTAACATTATTGGTCTCATTTAAACACAGATTAAAATCTAAGGTAAAAGGTGGTAAATAATTAAAGTTGACAGTAGACAATAAAGATTCCTTAGGCTCTAATACTGATTGACTCGTGAAAGTTTGACAACTTGAATCTAATTTGAACAATCTGCTGCCTTGCAATTTGATGTTAAATGGGGTGCTATGATTCTTACAGTTAATTATTAGATATTCAGGAGATAATGTGGTATACAACCAAACATTTTGTTTATAAAGTTTATACCATAAGTTAGAATTTAAATGGACAAGTTTTGTTTGACAATTTTTTGGAACACTTATGGTGTAAGAGAACAATTTCATTTCGCATGACTCATGCATGTGCGAGGAAAATATAGCTTGTTCTTGCTTACAAATCTAGTTATATTCGAATCTCTTACAATAGTTTATTTGTATTTTTATGAGTTGGTTCTATGTATAAGAAAAGATTATCAGTCTGTTTTGAAGGTAAAGGTATTAGGTGGTATAGCCTAAAAGAATTTGGAGAAACTAAAGGAATATCAATTATGTAGACTAAAGTGCGTTTACTGTAGTACACATGCATGTCAACCACACTCACGATTTTATGAATGTCGTTAGCATCAAGGGATCCACAAAATTGTGTACCTGGAGGAAGAAATGGAACTACCTTATTTAACTCCGCAATTAATTTGATAGGTGTTATTACTGATGGATGTAACTGGCCAGATTTTGCAGCAAAAACAGATTGCATTAAATTTTCTACTTCTGACTGATAAATTGATAACAAGGTGGAAAAAGAATTATAATAACTATTTAGCTTTTCGATTACTTTTAACTGATCTATTTCCTTCCGTTGTTTATTTGATTGACTTACAGTGGCTACTAACGTTTCATGTAAGATTTGTTCATTTTTTAAAACTTGAGTCGAAGTGTCATTAAAATTTGATAAAGTTGATTGAACAATGTGAGTTTCACGTTTTAGTAGTTGCATTATGGTTTCTTCGCGTTGCGAAAATTTACGTATTTGTTCGTTATAATATTCAGCATCATCATTATCTAAAGTACCAAACAAAAATTTACTAGCTTCACCAACAAAATT